TCAAAACTGTCGAATTGATTCGACAGGGGATGGAAACGATCTTCAAAAGCAAATCTACAGTGGCCATAAGCGCATGCATTGCCTGAACTACCAGGCTGTCACTTGTCCCGACGGAATATGTGTCCACTTCTTTGGACCGGTAGAGGGCCGGCGTCACGACTCAACTATGCTGCGTCAGAGTAAGTTTCTTCAATTCTTTGACAAGCATCGACATCTTTTCCTCGAAGTGCATCTACGGGGACCCAGTCTATGGCATTCTTGAGTACCTGATCTCTGGATACAAGGGCAACAACGTTGGAGAGCTCAAACGCGAATTCAACAAGTGGATGAGCCGTGTGCGCCAGTCCGTTGAGTGGAATTTCAAGATTTTGAAAACGTTATGGTCCTTCATTACGTTTAGATTTCTTTCGAAAATCCGACTGTCCCCTGCGGCCAAGATGTGTACGTTGCGATGCTTTTCACTAATTGCCATTGCTGCCATTTTCGGGGAAGTCAAATCAGCCACTTCTTCAACATCGATCCGCCAACAATGAAAGAATACTTAAACATGCTCGAGATTGTAGAAATCCAATAACCATGGAACATGAATTCATGATTTATTATACATGAGCAACTTAATCAAGGCTGCCATTGACTCTTGTTGTGCTCTCATTGCTTCTTGCTGGGCGTGGATTTGTTGGACTAATAACTTTCGGTCCTTTTGTCGTTCTTCGATGTTAGTCTTGTGCTTTTCGCGCCGAAACACTAAGTCCGACCTCGCCTACTCATGCATCGTAGCCATCATTTTCATCATCTTGCCACCACCCCGCGAGAAACAACGTTGTCATCAGGGTCGACCTTCCTTTTTCCCAGCGACTGCATGGTTTCCTCTCGAACGATACTGCCGAGATTCTCGTTGTGGTCTTGCAATATTTTCGTACTCGCAATGCGTTGAACATCTACTTCCTTGGCATCGTCAAGGGTCGACAGCAGTTCAGCAGCATAACTTTCTCGGTAACTTCCTCCGAAATGCCGGAGGCACGAGATGATTCTTGGTTGCTCTTGCGATGAGCTTCAATGAGTGCGTTAAAGCGGTTGTTGGCCTTCTTGGCGTCGAAGTCGGGACGTCCAAACTCCTCGCACCCAGCAAGCGCCTGAGCGGTTTGTGCCCACTTGTCCATCACAAAGCCACGGCGAGCAAGGAAGGGCATGTCTGCGGACACCTGCCGAAGAAGCAAGAGATCTTCTTCGTCAGTGAAGTTGCGGCGCGTGAGCGGTGTCGTCATGGTCCAAATCAAGACAAGATGTATGGATGAAGTCCAATTCCGTATATTTGGCTGGTTTGGCAGACAAACGATTATATTTGAGAGTTTCCACAATAAATTTTTGCAAGAGGACTCTGCTTTTGTCAACATACGGCGGGGCGCCGCAATGGATGCGGACTGGAAATGCACCAAAACCTCACAAATTACATATTGTACCACCTTACATTTTTGCGTCACAGCGTCTTTGATTGGCCTAAAAACCAAAATACTTCGTCCAATCAAAAAGTAACATGACTGCGTCCTCACGACGATGTCAACATGGCAATTGGAGACACTAGTTGGACGAAATTGGCGGGAGAAAAGTTTTAGGCGGGAAATAATCATGTGACACCCATGTTCACTTTGCAAAATTGCCTGCAAAACTCACATTTGAAGCAGTGAAATGAAAAGTATAGATAAATGCAACCTCTAACAAAGGCAATTGTACACTCTAGTACGTCTTGGATGCCAAAAGCGACCCTCTGTCCGATGAAGAGAGGTTCGTGGCCTTGGTGTTATATCGCGAAGGCCACTCCACAAACTACACCGCGAACGAGCTCAGCCGCTCTCGGGGATGCATACGCGGCTTTTTACGAAGCCTGCAACATACGGAACCGCGCGCGCTACTGGAAGACCTTCAAAAGTCAGCAGCTCCGCCGAATCGCTTGTGCTGCCCGTACGGGCAAGTTTACGGCCGCTGAGCTTGTGGAACGACATTCTCTGCCGGTTGGTCGTCGTCGTGTTTGCCAACTTCTCAACAAGAGTGGCAAGTTGAAGTACAAGAATCGACTTACAGCTCCAAGGATAACCCTGGCGCACGAAAGGAACGAGTAGTATGGGCAACTGAGGCGCGTGAGTGGGTGGCCTGTTTCAAGACATTATATGGTCCGATGAAAAGAAGTGGAACCTGGACGGACCTGATGGGTTCAACTATTGCTGGGCTGACTTGTGTGGGCGTCGCAAGCATTTCTCGAAAGGAAAAATGGCGGTGGTGGTGTAATGGTTTGGGGCGGTTTAGCGGCCGAGGCAAAACTGAGCTTGCCATTTTGTAGGGTAAGCAAGACGCTGAAAGCTACATATCTACGCTGTCCGAATACATGTTGCCGTTTGCGAACTTGAAGCACATGAACGACTTCCGTTTCAAGCAGGACAACGCGTCCATTCACACTGCACGCGCTGTAATGGAGTGGTTCAAGGAGCCTGAAGTGACGATTGATTTTCTCCAGTGGCCTGCCAAGTCGCCCGATTTAGACTCAATCGAGAATCTGTGGGGTATCATGTCCCGCAAGGTTTACGACAATGGTCGACGCAAGTTTTCGACAAAAGCCGATCTGATTGCTTGTTTGCATAATGTATGGGACGAAATTGATGTCTCACTGTTGGAAAAGCTCGTTGCTGGGATGCCAAAGCGTGACCAGATTATTGCTGCCAGAGGTCGCAAAATTAAGTACTAAGATGAGATTTGTGCACATGTCATATCATTATATCCTTTGCAAATTTCTATATTTTTGTGTAATTGGA